CTCTTTCCATGCATGCAACCGACATGCGGACGATTCGAATGCTGGACGACTACGACGAAAACAAGGTCCTTCTTCGCGGGACGCGAGCCTCATGGCATGGATTCCGAGCGAGCAGAGGCGTAGAATTCATGAGGCTGTTAGCAAGGCGCCATTGCTGGATCTGATTGTGGGTGTTTTTTCTTTTTTATTACCTACCAAAACGCCTGCATAAAGTATTCTAACATCAATATTACTTTCTCTACCTCGCCAATATCTTACACGCCAATAGTCAGGCGGAGTTGCCGGTGCAGTCTCGCGTACAACCGTCGCCCCGTTGGAGCGCCTCAAGATTCTCCTCCAAACCCACGTACTTCCACCAAACATGCCCGTCGGTAAGGCGCTGGTGCAGATGGTCCGAACCGACGGCGTTATTGGACTGTTCAAAGGCAACGGCGTGAACGTGCTGCGGATCGTGCCTTACAGTGCTGTCCAATTTGCGAGCTACGAATGGTTCAAGAGAACCTTTAAAGAGGTAATTAATCGCTTTATTTGATTAGGCTTGAGCCATCTGTTTAACACTATTTTTGAAATGCAATCAGCTCTCCGGAACCGAAGGCGAACTCACCACTTGGCTCCGTCTCGCGGCCGGCGCCAGCGCGGGCATGTGCAGCGTCACAGCTACCTACCCCCTCGACCTCCTCCGGACCCGCCTCGCCATGCCCCCAGCATCTTCCTCCGCCACACCCGCCCGCTCGACACTTCTGACTACCGCCGTCCGCGTCGTCCGCGAGGAAGGCGGCGTCGTGGCGCTCTACCGTGGTCTCTCGGCATCTCTCGTTGGCGTTGCGCCGTACATGGCACTCAACCTCGTGCTGTACGAGGCCTTGCGGGCCGAGGCACGGACGCTGATCCCCGGTCTGGAGGACACCGGGAGCAAGGAGGACGTTACGGCGGCACATGTCGCACGGTTGGCGCTGGTGAGACTGGCGTGCGGCGCGACTGCTGGGGCCATTGCGCAGACAGCGGCGTATCCGTTGGAGGTGATTAGGCGAAAGATGCAAGTGATGGGGATGCGCAAGGATGCGGCGAAAGCGGGGAAGAGCGGTTACGCAATCGTTGACGTGACCCTGAAAGTGTGGAAAGAAGAAGGAGTACCTGGATTCTACAGAGGTTCGTTGTGACATACTTTTTTGGGCCCTTTTACGTTGCTTTTCTAAATCCTTGTTTCTGCAGGTCTGGTACCGAATCTGATCAAAGTCGTTCCCGCCGCTGCTGTGAGCTTCATGACTTACGAGACCACAAAGTCGTTCCTGAAAACGGCCTTTGAGCCTTAGCACGGCCTCTACCACTGCCAAGATCATTCTTCGAGTATGCTTTACCCGGACCTGAGCCTCATTACGTTGAAAGCGGGATTATGTACCATGCTTGATGCGTTTAATCTTATTTGATCTATTTACTTTGGTTACGGGCAGCAATTCTTTGGTTGCTTCTATTTTATTGTCATCTGCTTGTTCATCGCGTGGAAGTCTTGAGCTCCGTGCTATCGACGACCTCATAATCTTGCCCGTTCAATATATTCATTCATGCATAGTCCGACATTGGCAGAATCCTCGCCAAAACATCGTAAAGATATACTCGTCGATAGATAACGTCCTGGTTACCGGCATGCTTCCCGTCATCAACACTGGAAGTCTGACACGCCTACTTCCCGCTCGGAGAAGTGTCACCGGCGGCGAGCCACTCCCCAGCTTTAAATCCCGTGTAACATCAACAAATTGTGAGACACATAGGCCCTCGAACGAACGAAGCTTCAACGCTGAACCTGCGACCCAAAAACCCGACACATCCCGTTGATCAGAGCCATGACGAAGCACGAGGACAGACGGCTGACGATGCTGAGGGCGTTGCTGAGGCAAGAGGAAAACAAGGTCGGAAGCCGGATGCAGTTTGTGTTCAAAGGCCAAGCGACTGGGGTGGAGGTTGTGGACAACGATAGAGTGCTGGAACTCTCTCTTGCAAGACTTTTGTTGAATCCGGGTTGGATTATGGCAGTGAATTACCGATATTCACAGAGCCTTTACATCTTGCCATGGGATTCCTTCTGTAACTTGGCAAAGCTGTGAAATGGACGACAGTGAACGGCAAAGATCCCCCATCCACACCATATCCTCACTGTTTCTTCTTTCATACATAGGCAAAGAATGCTCGATATGTTACTAATACTTCTTCGTTAAACAGAAATGCTTTGATTGCCCGTCTCGGTCCCCCAGTTTCGTCAACCTCACCGCAAGTAGGGAGATTGCCTGCGTTTCTATCTGTTCCTTGCACCACAAGACTATTGCTCACCTTTTCCGGGTTTATTTTTCGCTTGCCAGATACTTTTGTTTGCTCGAAATGCGCTGGCTACCTCCGAACCATGAAGTGAGTACCTGTAGTTCTTTCGAAAAGGCCAGATTACGTTTGAAGCAAATCAAGAAAGCACTATGAGGGCTAACAATATCACTTTTCTTTAGTTGCCGCGTAAAGTCTGTCTCGGCATCCATTTTCACAAAGGAGGAAATCGAGAACCTTGCTTTGGGCGGAAATGCTGCAAGTATTCTTTGGTTTTAGGCTTTGCCTGCTCACATATCGGTTGCTAAACTGGTGTCTAAACCTCTAAACGGCACCCTTCGCAACAGGTTGCCCGCAAGGTCTACTTGGCCACCTGGAGTCCATCGCTTTACCCCGAACCTGCAGAAGACGACGAGGACGACGACGGCTGCTCGGTTCAAGAGTTTATGCGTCTCAAATATGTTCAAAAGATGTGGTATAAAAACCCTGTCGACGTTGCGAATACCACCCTTGCGTCTTCTGGGGCCAGCAGTGTCGGCGGCATGGCTGGCGCTCCTGGCGCTGGCGGCAGAAGCTTGAGAGGTTCTCTATCCACTTTGAATCTCAAGTTTGCTCCTACTTCTGCCGTCATGGTGCCAAAGGGATCGTCGGTTGGTTCGTTTGATGGGTTGAAAGCGATACCCGAAGCGAAAAAGGCTGATGTGAGTGTTTTGTGGTGTGAACTTTCATTGCTAACTCGTTCATCTCCCAAAAATCTAGACATCCGTGTTGCCAGCTACGTCGACGTCGGGCTCTATCCTCGACTTGATGGCCTCGCCCGTTGACACTGTGTCGCCGCAGGTATCGCAGGTGCCGCAAAAGCCGGCAGAATCCTCGACCTCAGGATCTTCGGGTGTTGGATCCTTGTTGGACGACTTTGCCGGGCTCTCATTCGGTCCGACCACCGGCTCCTTCTCTTCGACCCCGTTCTTCGCCACCAAGCCTGCTGCAGCTCCTGGTGCCAGCATTGCAGCATTTGCCAACTTCAACTCCTTTGTTACCACTCCCATGGCGCCCTCTTTGCCAGTTGTGCCCAAGACGCATTCGCTTCCGGTTGCTTCGGTCCTGCCGACCGCTTCAGCCGTTCCCGCCGTTCCCGCCGTTCCCGCCACCACCATCGACACCAAGCTCTCGCCGTTTGGTTCTGCTGCTACCCCAGCCACATCCGCCTCTTCCCCTCCTCTTTCGAACGGTGTCAGCCCGACGAGCGACAAGAAGGATGAAGATGAGAACGACCGGTATGCCGCCTTCCGCGGTTTGGACGCCGAAACCGCGCGGACGGCTCCTTCCGCGTTCACTCTTCTCCCGGAGCCCCCGAAGGTGCCCAGGGATGCGCGCATGGCGGGTATCTTGGGGCTGCAGGAGCCCAAGAGCAGCGGCATCGGTGGGATGGTTGGGGTCCCGCTCCCTCCTGCAAAGCCAGTTGTGATGGCGGCCCCGGAGCCTGAGTTTGACCCTTCGGACCCGTATGCAGCGTTCCGTGGGATTTCCAAGGAGGAGGCCATGTTGGCGCCTGGTGCATTCACTTATTCCGATCCGATAGGCAAGTTTCTGCCATCCCTTTTCTTGATGTACCAGTATTCTAACATCTCCAACAAACAGCCTTTGAAAACAACATCCGCCGTCGTTCATCCGTTGCCGCCATGGGCACCGCCTTCAGCACCGCCGCACCGGTCGCCACCGGATTTTCCACCGGCGTCGCAGCACCGGCCCAAGACGACGCGTGGGCAGACTTTGGAGCTTTCACGAGCGCCCCGCCCGCCGCTGCTGCTGCTGCCCCGGCTGCCGAGAAATCGAACGGTACCAACGGGAACGACTTTGGCGACTTTGGCAGTTTCGTTGATGGTACGATTTGACCGCTCTTTTTTCGTTTTTCGATTCCTCCTGTCCAAAGCTCTGATGTCCGTTTTCGATTTATATAGCCGGACACGCTTCCCCCCAGCGCAAGGTTGAGAGGAAACCATCCAAAATTGCCGACAATGCTTTCGCGGACCTCCTCGCCGGCTTCAAGTAAACACGCGAATGGCTTCGTTGCAAGAACAGTAGGAGTTTTCTTGTGATATATGACACCCGTTTCATGTTCCGCCAGAGCAGTTCTGTCCATTCTTTTTTTTTTTTTGATAAGTATTGCTGGAAGAGCCTTTTGTTCCTTGCACATTTCATCGCTCTGTCTCACTTTCCCCCTTTCTCCCTCTCTATCCATCTCGCAAAAAATGCCTTCATTAATCAGCCTTCTTCTCTGCTCCTGGTTTTTAGTCCCCTTCACGCCCCCCTCCTGCCCCTTATCTTGCCCTCGCTCTGGCTCTTGCAACTATCATCCTTTTGCTCCAGCTTTCAAATAAAAAGTTGAAGGAACTTGTAAAATGTGGGCTTTCCTTGATTGATTCGCCTGTCTCTGTCTGTAACGCGGGAAAAGTTCAATAGCACCGGACCAGATGAGGGAGGGCCTTGATTGATCGCAAGCTTTTGCTCATCGAGCACCTATCGGGGGTTGATCCGGGCTCACCTTTTCCGCCCCCGGATCAACTTTCCCCGGATCAGCCCCGGCGTTGTTTGGGACATCAATCAGTCAAGGGATAAAAAAAAAAAAAAAGAAACGACAACAGCGGAAAAACTGTGCGCCGACGTGCGAGTAAAATGCGGAAAAACTCTGCACAGAGTGGGATTTGAACCCACGCCTCTCGCGAGATGTGAAAGATCATACTGATGATGTAATGTGACTCACAATCAGTAATCTTGAGTCACACGTCTTAGACCGCTCGACCATCTGTGCATGTAAAAGTGTCGCCCAATGGGGGTCTCGATCCCCCGACATTGCGCTTAAAAGGCGCACGCTCTACCAAGCTGAGCTAATCGGGCTGGTAATACGATCCCGGTGGGGTTCGAACCCACGACTTCCCGCTCCGGAGGCGGACGGAATACCACTTTCCTACGGGACCGGCGGAAATAGCACCCGCCCGGGGTTGATCCGGGGA